CAAGGTCTCTCCATACTAGTAAAGGGAACAATTTAACAAGAAGATATTACAATAATAAATATGTATGCCCCCAAAGTGGGTGCAACTAATTACATAAAGGAGACACTACTCAAATTGAAGCCTCAGATAGACCCCAGTACAATAATATTAGATGATTTCAACACACCTCTTTAGATAGGTCATAAACTATGGCAAATATTTTTTGGACCTGAAAAATATTATAAATCAAATGGACTTAACAGAGTTCTAGAGAATATTCAATCCAACAACAGCTAAATACACTTTTTTTTCTCAGTGACTCATGGAAACTTCTCCAAAATACAGTATATTTTAGGCCACAAAGCAACGTTTTTTACAAAAAAGAAAAAAAATCCATATAATTCCTTGCATCTTATCAGATCATAATAGATGAAATCAGAAATTAATATGCAAAACTCTACAGAAACTATATAAACACATGGAGATTGAACAATATACTTTTGAATTACGCATGAGTGATAGAAGAAATCAAGTGAGAAATTTAAAAATTCTTAGACTCAAATGAGAATAGTGATACAATATGCCAGAACCTCTGGGACACTATGAAGGCAGTTCCAAGGAAATTTGTAGGTATGAGTACCTACATAAGAAAATCAGAATGCTCCTAAATAAACAACCTAATGATGCATCTTGAGGCCCTTGAAAACAAAACAAAACAAAACAACACACACACACACACACACACATAAAGATTGATGAAACAAATAATTGTTTCTTTGAAAAGATAAACAAGATTGATAATCCCTAAACCAAAAGAAAAAGAAAACCAAAATTAATAAAATTAAAGATGAAAAAGGAAAAATCACCACAGACATCACAGCAATCCAGCAGATCATTAGAGACTATTTTGAAAACTATTTCAATAAATTGGAAAATCTAGAAGAAGTGGGTACACTTTTAGACAAAGAAAATCTGCTAAAACTGAATCAAGAGGACACAGAAAATCTAAATAGACCAATAACTTTCAAAATGACAATATAAAGTATTATTAAAAACTAATGAGATTGAAGTAATAAAAAAAACTTTCTAACAAAATAAAAAGGGATGGAACACTTCCAAATTCATTCTATGAAGCCAGTATCACACTCACACTAAAATCAGATATAGACACATCAAGGAAAGAAAACTACAGATGAACATCCCTAATGAATTTAGTTGCAAAAGTACTTAACAAAATATTAGCAAATTGTGTTCAACAACATATTGAGATTGTAACCTAACCAAGTTGGTTTTATCCTAAAGTTGCAAGGCTGGTTTAATATGCAAATCAATAAATATAACTTTTCACACATATAGACTTAAGGACAAAAGTCACTTAATCATTTCAATAGATGCAGAGAAGATCTTTGACAAAATTCAGCACTCATTCATTATAAAAACATTGAGGAAACTAGAGATAGAAGGAGCCTACCTAACACCATAAAGGTTACATATGAAAAACCAACCTCATAGTAAATGGAGAAAAACTGAAAGCATTTTCTTTAAAATCTGGAACAGGACAAGGATGTCCACTGTCACCACTCCTTTTTAATATAGTGCTAGAAATTCTAGTCAGAGCAATTATGCAAGAGAAGGAAATTAAAAGGATAAAAATAAGAAAGGAAGAAGTCAAATTATCACTGTTTGATGATATGATTCTATACCTATAAGATCTAAAAAATGTCACCCAAAGACTTCTAGAGCTAATAAACAATTCAGCAAGATAGCAGTTTACAAAATCAACATATAAAAAGAAGTCTCAGTCCATAGATAGCTAGCGTCATTGCTCTGGGCTCTATTGAGGCAGAACATCATGCTGGAAAGCTAAGGTGGGGTAAAATAGCTGGGAACATGGCACCAGGAAGGGGGTGAGGAGGGAGGGAGCAGGGGAGAGGGGTGGGGTGGGGGAACGAGCTGTTCAACAAGGACAATATATATAAAACAAAGGCATGTGCCCAGGGCCACATCCTATCTGCCTACAGTTACTACCCAGTTAATCCCTATTAGGGGGATTAACAAATTGATTAGATTAAGGTTCTCATAATCTGATCGTTTCAGCTCTAAACTTCTTTTCACTTCTAAATTTTTTTTCATTGTCTCTCACTTGGGCTTTTGGGGGACACCTCATATCTAAATTGTAACAGCTATCATAACAACAACTGCATGGTACTGGCATAAAACCAGACACATAGACCAGTCTTACAGAATAGAAGAGACAGAGATAAACCCACACACTTGAATTCCATCTGATACTGGACAAAGTTGCCAAAAACATACATTGGAGAACAGATAGCCTTTTTAACAAATGGTGCTGAGACAACTGGTTATCCATATGAATGAAATTAGATACTATCTTTCATCCTGCACAAAAATCAACTGAAAATGAGTCAAAGACAGAAATTAATTTACTAACTGTAAATTAGTATAACCACTAGAGAAATCAGAACCACCATATAACCCAGCCATACCACTCCTTGGTATTTATACTAAAGAATTCAAGCATCATACTACAGTGAAACTCATAGAAGAAAATGCAGGATCAATAGTCCAGCACCTAGGCACAGGCAAAACTGTCTCAATAAGCTCAGAAAATAATACCAAGAATTAATAAATGTGATGAAATAAAATTTAAAACTTCTGCAGAGCAAAGGAAACAATTAGGGATATAAACAGAGAACTTAAAGAATGGGAGAAAATCTTTGCTAACTTACTATAGTGACTTACCCCTGTTTATAGAAGAACAATTCACAATAGCCAAACTATGGAACTGGCCAAGGTGTCCATCAATAGATGAATGGATGTGGTATATATACAAAACAGTATTCTGCTTAGTCACAAAGAATGAAATTATGCAACTGGAGAACATCATGCTAAGTCAAAAAAGCACGACTCAGAAATTCAAGAGTCCAATATTTTCTCTCATATTTGTAAGCTAGAAAGAAATAAGGAATAAAAAAGGGAGGGGGTTTATGAAAACAGAAGGGGCTAGTTGTTGTTAGTGGTGGTGGGAAGTATATGATACCTCATGCCATCTATTTCTCTGAGACATTAACTCCAGTCAAACTTGTCCTTTAATTAAAAGCTACCTTCCACTAAAATCAATGATATTTGAATCCCAGTTTAGCCAGTCTAGATAATTCATAGCTCTTAAAACCAATGTGAGTTGTTAAAAGGAAAGGTTGATAACGGGGCATGGGGGAATAGGATTTTATTTTTAACTTAATTCAGGGCATAGATAAATTTAAAGTGATATTTTGATGGTGTTTTTTTTGTTGTTGTTGTTGTTTTTGGTTTTTTGGGGGGTACCAGTGATTGAACCCAGCGGGGCTTAACACTGAGCCAAATCCCCAGCCCATTTATTTTATTTTATTTATTTATTTTTCTTTTGAGACAGAGTTTCACTGAGTTGCTTAGCGCCTTGCTATGTTATTGAGGATGACTTTGAACTTGTGATCCTTCTGCCTCAGTCTCCTAAGCGACTGGGATTATAGGCTACTGTGCCTGGATAATGGTGTTTTTAATAATGCCTTTTATACTGTCATTTTGAAATAATGTCAAACTATAGAAAAGTTGTATGTGTAGTACAAAAACTCTCATATACACTTTACTCAGTTACATTAACTGTAAAAACGTTTTGCCGCAACTATTGGTGTCTCGCTCTACTTACCTACCTATCTACCTACATACACACATACCTGCTTATCATTTAACATCATATATATTGTTTCTGAATAATCTGAGATTTAATTGCAGAATGTACTCATTTACCTCAAATACTTCAACATCTATTTCCAAAGAACAGACGTTCTCCAATAGAATTATCAAATTCAGAATTTTAACATTGATATAATACTATTTTCTGATATCTAAGCATATTAAAAAATTGCCAGTTTTTCAAGTAATACCTTTTATGGCAATCTCTCCCTCTCCATCCCACCTCTAAGATCTGATAATCAAGATTCATGGATTGTTTTAGTTGTCAAGTTACTTTAATCTCCTTTAACCTTTGTCTTTCATAACATCTACATTTTTGAAAATGCCAGTTTTGAAAATGTCCATCAATTTAAGTTTGATGATTGTATTTAGATTATGTGTTGGAGTATAATTATAACTTTAGATTTACATGGTCTACCACACCCTTCTACCCAACCGCCATTGTTTCATAAACAGTTTTATGTTAGAATGAGCTCATTTGAGAACTGAAATCATTTTGAGGCATGACTGAAAACACTCCTGACTCAAAAACCTGCCAGGGATCACTGTATTTTAAAAGCAAAATTTCTTATCTAAAGTTACAATACAAAACAAACATTTTTCTTCAGTCACAAAAGCAAATACTCTGTGTGTATGTGTGTGTGTTTGTGTTTCTGGAAATTGAATCCAAAGTTTTGCATGTGCTAGGCATGTGCTCAACCACTGAGCTACATCCCAGGCTAAGCATATACTTTTAATTGCAAGTGTAGTCTGCTTCTTATATAGACAACTCTATGCATGTTTCAAGATGATAGATGATGGAATTTTTACTTAAAGTTATTTTGAGAAAGGATTTACTATAAAACACTATAACAATAACCTGCTTTTTACAACAGACTCAGTGATTGATGCATTAAACTTGTTAATCCATTATTAGTGTGTCTCATTTTACCTGAGGCTTATATATCACATAGCAAGGCCTCCCAAGAGGCTAGATTTAAGAACTGCTTAAGTTTTTAATTGCAATCAAAGCTAGGTTGTTTTTGGGCAGTTGGGAATTTGTGAGGGCACCGAGTACACTGTTCACTGTGAACGTGGCAAAATAAAGAAGAAGGGTCAGAAAGGGAAAAGGGATTCAAACACTAACTTCATCTGTCTTTGAGTTTGCCCAAAGATAGCCCTTTTCTGGTATGTCCCCACTAACCAAAAAAGAAGGCAGGTGAGGTTTATTTCAAAATACAGTTTCTGGATTAGAGTGTTTAAATTTGTTTTTATTTAAACCTGTAAATTTCAAGTAAATATCTCTTCTTATAAATAATATTTGCCATGAAGTGAGTGAAAGAAATATCTTTCTTCTTTTATCATTCAATATAGCGAGGAAACACAGTATGATTTTTTTTTTAAATCTCTCTCTCCTTTTCCTAGGCATCCATTCCCAGAATTCTATTGTCTTGTGTTATTTCTTTTTTACTTTGTAGCAATAGTAGCAGCAGTTCTTGAGAGGAACAAGTAAGTCATTGGCCATATATGCAAAGCACAAGTTCCTACAGGCAAGATGAGTGGCACAAACAAGAGGTGATATTTTTCAGTTAAAAAAAAAACCAGCCAATGAATGCAATCTGATTCATTTCTCAAATTGCACCTGAGAACACAAATTTCCATCACTGAGTGAACTTTGTCTGCAGAGTTCCTTTAATCAAGGCATTGAGCATGGGTCTGTGTTGAAAGTTTGAGGAAAAATTTTTCAACTAGTGTTTATATTATGACAACAAAAGAAACAGTAAGATACTTATAAAATGAATCACATCATTTGCTTAAAAGTTAACATTAAGATAAATTTGGAAACTTCAGTTAAAAATAATTATTTGAGCTAGATAATTCAGTTTATGATTATAAAGTATTATCTATAGTCCGATTCCCCAAACCTTTTTTTTTGCTTTAATCTTTATAATTTCTTTTAAAGTTCAATTGTTGCACCTTGCAAACTTCACCTAATGAACATAAAAAAGAGGATCTTAATGTCTTCATTTGGTTCATAATTATCCCTTTTTAAATACTCTTCACTCTAATTTAGAAGAGGAGTCTAGTTCAGTTGGAATCTTGGTATGAATAGGAATTATTGGAACAGCCCATTTGAAGATTTTGTTTTCATTAATTTCCTGTAGGTTAATAATGATGTAGTTACTGTCCTATTTTGCAAACAAAAACAACTCAAATCCAATATCTTCATTGATGACAATTTCTAGTCAATATTATTTAGTTTACTTTATCTTCTAATCCAATAATTTTGGTTTTGAAAGAGATAGCAAAAATATTTTCATGTTTTTGGAGGCATTGGCTCTTTTTGCTTCAGTATATTTTGGCTTCTCTTTTCTCTCTGCTTTCTTCAGATGAACTTTCACTCTGGAGATTTCTTCCAAGGAAATATCTACGAGAATTAAGACGACCGTGTGGCCAGGGAAATGGCTGGAAGTGGAAACGGTGGTTGCACCTTGGAGGGAGAAAATGTCTGTTTTGAAACCCAGGATAGATTCTAGGCCTTCTTTGTGTAATACGACTGAAGGGATATTTGGGTGTCCTAGTAATGGGCTGGACCCTTGTTGTCGGATTCCTCGTGGTGGGTGGAGGGGTGAGTGTGAAGATCTGGCAGTCTGTAGGGTTTATATGTTGTGAGCCTCCTGGTGGGGTGACAACCTCTTCTTGTCCTGTAGGGAGGAAAATAGGAGTCAGAAAACAGGCCTGGTAACAGAAGCAGAAGCAAGATAGATCCTTGAATGTGGGTGCAGGGGAGAAACAAGAAATAGAGATGTCTTGGAGCATGTTGGAAACAAGGTCAATAAAATGAAATGTGGGTACACCTTATAATCCAGCATTTCCACTCTATGGAATTGACCCAAGTTTTTATTTGCAAAAGTTTGCAAAAACAAACAGAGAAAAAAACTAGTTCAAGGATGTTCATAGCAAACTTTTTCATTATAGCCTAAACTTGGAAACAATCCAGGTGTCCATAAATAGAAAGGTCAAATAAACTGTGTATATTCATACAATGAAAAGTACTCATTGTGGAAAAGGAAAATCTACTAATGTGCACAGTAATATAGATGAATCTCATGAACATTATGTTAAGCAAAAGAAGTTGGACACAAAAGAGGATACATATTGCAAAAGAATACAGCAAGTGAAACTGTGGTAAAAGAGTCAAATAATATTGAGCTCAGGGTTAGAGTAGGAATTGTTTAGTGGAAAGAGTAACCAGCAAACTCTCAAAATATTCTGTATCTCAATCTGGGTGGTTTTCTAAATGGAGCTATCTACGTCTCACACATATACACACATACATATAGATGTGTAAGTATTCACATACACACATATAAATCTCTATACATGATGTATGTTTGCACACATACACATATATGTATGTATATATAAAATATAATAAGTATAACTTTAAGATTTGTGGAATTTATTATGTGTAAATTATAACAAAAAAAGAAAATTCATGAGGAAAAAAACTTTTTTAATGTTAAGAATATAAAAATAACATTGAAATTTCCTTTTCCCTGCTCAGTCAGTAAAGTCATTCCTTAGGAAGGGAGGGGCATCTATAAGCATCAGAAGAAAGAGTGCTGAGGACCAGGACGCAATTCATTTTTAAGAAGAAATTTGGGTTAAGTTCCAGCTTCAAGGTCTTCCCTTGACTAAATCACCTATCAAAGTTGGCAGTGAAAAGGAAGTTTTCCTGTAGTGAATAGTTTCTTCACTTCTGCAGAGGCTCACCCACACAGGCCTGGGAAGGAATGCCAGGCATGGGTGATGGAAACATGAACCACCACAGGAAGCTGAGAGTGCAGAAGCATTTAAGAACTAGATTCCCTCGTTTCTGGGCTGTAGTGGATATGCTTACATAGTTCCTGTGCCCATAGTTCCTTCCAAATACTGTCTTATCTACAACCTCTGGAAAGGTCCATCTTTCACACCTTCTGACTATGGCTGATTGGATTGTGGATAGACCCTAAACTAATTTATTGGCTAGTCAATGATGAATTGGATCCTCCCTTGAGAATTAATTATAGCAAAAAAGACATAGTGAAAGCTGTTACTGGAAGGCAGGGGCTGGAGTGTCAGGCTTTGGCCAGATGAATGATGAAAAGCATAGATGCCAGGATGGATACAGAAGTAGTGAACTGGGGAAGGAGAGAGAGAGAGAGAGAGAGAGAGAGAGAGAGAGAGAGAGAGAGAGAGAGAGAGAGAGAAGAGACTATATGGTAACAGTGCTTGCTGATGGGACTAGCCTTGGTTCTTGACTTTCCAGGGTTGGTCCCTCTGAGGCTCAGCTGACTATACTTAGGTTCTTGAAGATATCCTTATAATGATCACTCCACCTCCAACTCTATTCTCTCTGTTTTATTTATTTTTTGGTACTGGGGAGTGAACCAGGGTCTTGCATGTGCTCATGCTCTACTACTGAACTCTTGCTCTACTCTTTTTAAAACTAGCTTGAATGGGTATCCATTCCTTGAATAAAATGCCAACCCTTTCCCCATACCTAGTCAGTATATTGAATTGTAATCCTGTGATGAAATTAGACTAACAAACTCACTTTGAGCTTCATAAGATGATTAAACCCCATATTACTCTTTGTGATAAGTTTTGAATCTTTGTGACATGAAAACTTTCTACCCAGAATCTAGTCAGCAGGGGAGATGCCAGCCTCATTATTAATCCCTATTTTGACATTGTGCTATAAAATGAAGCTTAACTAGGCCTTGAACTCTGCTATTTATTAACCACTCCAGCTGTAAAACAATCAACATACCTGCCCCTTGGGTCCATCTCATTTCTTGAAACCTGAATAGGCTGTGGGATGTCCAGTAGTATCTAGTGTTCTCTTCTGGGAATTCCCAAGGATTCAAAATCAAGGAACAAGCTTGCCCCAACTACGCACCCAAGAATGTGGGCAAGACCATGTAAAATGCATTCTTCTAGCAAATTACACACAGAGTCATTATCTGCTTGGTAGCACATGTATTCTAAAATGTGGGACCACAGGGACTGATTTGGGACCCCATTACATCTTACAAAGTAAAGGAAGGCCACACATCTGAGTGATATTTTTCATGATTCTACCTTTGGCTGAGTTAGCTCTGTTCATTATTCTTTTCTTTATCCTTGTTCTGCACTGTTCCTACTGTCTTCATAATCTTTGCTATCTCCTCAAATCTCCTTCAAAATTTTCATATTTGAAGAATTATCTGTACCTTTATCTTTAAAATTTTTTTTTATTTACACATTTTTTTTTTTTAGTTGTTGATGGACCTTTCTTTTACTCCTTTATAGGCGGTGCTGAGAATTGAACCCAGTGCCTCACACATGCTAGGCAAGTGCTCTATCACTGAGCTATAATCCCAGTCGTCTCTGTACCTTTCTAAGTAGATAATTTAGCTTCATATTGCAGACAGAAAACTGAGGTGCTCTGCCATGAACTTTGGTTCCTAAATCTTCTCTTTAAAGAAAAATCTATATGCTACATAACTATTTAATCCTTTGGAATCTGACTCTGAATCTTCCACTCCACCAAAGCTACTTTGGAAAAAGTCATCAATAGTCCTGGGCTTCTAAAAAGTTGGTTTCAGGTGCCTAAAGAACTATTTTCTGCCCTACTTTCCTGGAGTTCTTGTTAGAATTCCAAGTTTGGTCTCATCAGGGAAGACTTCCCTACTTGGAGCTGCTGAATGTCCCTGGCAACCTACTTGCATAGCATCCAGTGAATCCACTCCCATAATACACATCAATCGTGTGATTACCATTCAGTGGTAATGGTAATCCTGTTCCAATGAAATATCTACGTGAATATCTTGTAGACGGCAGTCTCAACCCTAGCCCCATGCCTGCAGTAGAACTGAACTGAGCAAAAGAAATCTATTTCTACAATTGGAAAAGTTACCATGTTCCTACCTCTCAGGGACAGCATGATGATTAATAAGCATTTGATGACATGCCATCAAAGTACTGAATGACAAAGATGAGAGTTTTCCAAGCGTAATGAGACCAGAGTAGGTCAGACATTTGATGTACATTACAAACATGTCAGGAGGCAGAGAACATAGTGTTGAAAAGCTTGGGCTCCCTGAGTTTTGTAACAGTGTGACTATAGACATATTCCTTAACCTCTATGAGTTTTTTTCCTTATTTGTAAAATGGAGAAAATAATATTACTGTCTCATAACTTGTGAATTTATCTAAGATGTATAAAGTGTTCAGAGTATTGCCTGACACATGGTATACATTTAGTGTTAGCTATTATTATTAATCCTGAAGATTATGAAAAGATTCTATTAGCATGAGCTCCATTTTCTTAGGCCCATCTGGTTATATCTCATAGATAATCTCTGCATTAAGGACAGGACAAAAGAATACAGATTAATAAGAACAGGCCTTCACTGGGCATGGTGGCACACATCTGTAGTTCCAGTAACTCTGGAGGTGGAAGCAGGAGGATTGCAAGTTCAAGTCCAGTCTCAGCAACTTAGCAAGATCTTAAGCAACTTAGTGACACCCCGTTTCAAAATAAAAAGGGTTGGAGGTAAGTTCAGTGATAAGTGCTCTGGGTTCAATTCCCAGTACCAATAAATAAATAAATAAAGGACTTCCAAGTCAAGAAATAATTGTTGACTCACAGTCACTGCCAATGTCCTTAGCACCTAGAATAGTTCCTGGTTTACAGGTGTGTTCAATAAAACACTTGATGAGTTCAATGAATTGTCGAGCAGACACTGAATTTTCCTCTGATATTTTTGTGGCACTCAGTGTTTAAATCAAGTCTCAGAACATTTGATATATTTAAATTTTAGCATAATTTGAAAATCAAAATATTTCTTGGAATTTGGATATCACTTTTAAATGGGTTTATTATTGTCTAGACATGAAATTCATAGCATACCAACAACCAGCACTTTTCAAAAAGGGTAATGAGGAGAAGATCTTTGTTATAATTACCTCTACTCTGTGGTTATTTGGGCAGACAATAGCTGGTTTGTAGTGAACTATACTGGTTCTTAGAGAAGTAAGCTTTGTACTTGGAGTTTAAGTATACAGTATTCCATTACAGTGCACTTGGATTCTTAGAAGAATTCTCATATGCTTTCAGAGTTGAACCTAAAAGAAATATAAGTTCTGTGTTTATTTAATTTTCTCACGATAACTGCAGCTCCATTCATTTTGTGGATTCACAAAATGACTGGCTATTGTGGTCAAATCTGTAATTTTAAAGATATAGAATTTGGAGCCCCAAGGGTGTTCCACAGGCCTCTTTCAATTCTGTGCTGTAAGTCAAGTCATTTCAACAGTGTTCAGGTTACCGTGAGAGTTGCTGTGCACATACAGAGACGGTAAGGACGCAGCCCTGCACCAAAGAAATGCAGTGATGCTGCAGATATCTAGATCTGCTCTGCAGAGTGGAAAGCTGAATGTATGTGAGTGATGTACAGATTGCTTTAAGAATTCAAAGGAAAAAAAAAGAATTCAAAGGTATATGTGTGTGTGAGTATGAAAGAGAGAAAGAGATTGCAATTTTTTAAAAAAAGTTTTTTTGTAGTTATAGATGGATAGCATGCCTTTATTTTATGTATTTTTTAATGTGATCCTGAGGATTGAATCCAGTGCCTCACACATGCTAGGCAAGTGCTCTGCCACTGAACTATATGGCCTCAGCCCCAGAGATTGCAATTTTAAAATTATGTGTCTCAAGAAAGATTTTGTGAAGGTGAAATTAGGGTGGCATTTAAATGTTGAGACTTGAAGCAGAATTTCAATAAACAGGTGTGAAATCAGGAAGAGGGAGCAGCCACAGCCACTGCCATGGAGGAGAGAGAGAAGAGGATAAGTTTGAAGAGCCACACGTGACCCTGTCTGGTAGACACTGAATACGTATAAGTGAATGACAAACAGGAGCCAGTGCTGGGATAGAGTGAAGTTAGATGGGAAGGTCTTCCCAATTCAGAAACCAAATCTCCCGTTTCAATTGATATCTTTTATTTTATTACTTAGTTATTTATTTTTGTGTTACTGGGGATTGAACCCAGGGCTTCGCACATGCTCTCTAAGCACTCTAGCAACTTAGCTACATACCCAGACCTTTTTGAATTCTATTTGGAAACACTAAATTGCTGAGGCTGGCTTTATACTTGCTGTCCTCTGCCTCAGCCTCCCAAATCATTTGGATTATAGGCCTGGGCCATTGTGCCTGGCTGTCTTTTATATATGACTAAAAAAAAGCTCTAATGTCATTATAAGTTGTTTACATATTTACAAAGCCTCCTGAAAAGTGGAGAAGGTGACAAAATTGTCTCAATGATTACAAATTACCCATGAACTGGAAAGAAGGTGGTAAATGGCTACTTCTGTTTTTTTTCTTTTTTTTTTTTGTTTTCAGGAAGGTAGTACCAGGGATTGAACTCAACGCAGGGTTCCTTGACCACTGAGTCACATCCCCAGCCCTATTTTCTATTTTATTTAGAGATAGGCTGTCACTGAATTGCTTAGCACCTTGCTTTTGCTGAGGCTGGCTTTGAACTTGTGATCCTCCTGTCTCAGCTAAATCTGTTTTTTAATGCCTCTTTTACATATTACTTTTAGTAAGTAATAACTGGGACTTTGCCTTGGGGATTGGGAGCAAGTGATATTTATAATCTATGTCTTCTGATGGGCTGAGTTTGTGCAGAGATTGGTAAGGGAATCTCTGGGTGTCCTACAACCAGCTCTGAGGGCTATACCCATGTCTAATTTGTCATGAGCAAGGATGTTGTTGAGGGATGAGTAGGGTTTGGCTGAGCCCCAGCAGAGATCCCCAGACTAGGGCACAGGAGGGGGTGAAGCGCTCTGCTTGACTCCATTTTCTCCTCCCTGAACAGCAACTACGATGAACTGTATGTGGGGAAAAAAATGCTAAATTTAGGGCCTCCAGGATCTCTTCCTCCTTCCTTTCCCCTTTTTCTTTCTTCTCTCTCCTTCCCTACGGGTGTGTGTACACACCAATTCTAAGGCTCAGGTCACCTGGAGATTTGGTAGTGGGTGACCTGAGCCTTAGAATTGGTGTGTAGAGAGAGAATTGAAACAGTGGAGAAATTAATCTCAAATGATCCTAAAACTTGTATTCACCTCAAGAGCACCAAGACACAGATCACTAGATATGATTAATTAAAGCAATTAACAGAGACTGAACACCAGCCTTGTACAAATTACTGCACAGCTAGAGATGGAGAGAAGAGGACAGCACTGCAATTCAAGGTAGAAATTGTTAGCTTCATGACAATAATGAGTGCTTGTGCAGTTTTTAGTGTGAAGAGCTTTTCACATACAAGCTCACCTGGTCCTTTCAACCCCCATAGCAATGCATGTTATTAAGACAGTCAATTCACATAGAAGGAGTCTGATGCTCAGAGAGATTTCGAGTATCAAAGTCACAGAGCTAGAGCTGAGATTAGGATCCAAGTCTTCAGATGATAAAATATATCATTCTCTTTAAGCACACAGGCTGATGGAAGCAGATATAAACATTTTCAGCTTATGGGAATGTGTAATCACAGAGCCAGTTTTATCTTTTCAGATGGCTTATTAATTAATGGGCCCACAGGAGAATAAAACCCAAACCCTTACCTTCTGCCACAGCTACTACCAACCAGCAGACCAATGACCAGGAGGAGAAGCAGGGTCTGTGAGCCATGGTTTCTACCTTGAGCTCTCACTGCCTCCAACCCCAATGTTGCTTTAAATGGGAGTTGGTGAGTCACCAGCAGCCTGATTCAGGTAATTTGCATTTGCTTAGTAGACCACAGCTATCTGGGCCTGTGGTGTGAGGGCAACAAATCCGTAAGGACATACCAGACAGTATGTATCAACTAGAAGTGTCTTGTTATGACAGCCAAGCATCATTCATCATGCCTTGATTTTGGACAACCACATCCTTGCTATCCTTTTAATCCCTCAAATCTACTCCCATGGTGGTGCCTTCTCTTTATCCGTGTGTGTGAGTCTTCCTCTGCAGGAGAAGGGAGCTGTCTAGGCAATGCTCAGCACTGCTTCCCACTCTGGAGCTGACTGAGGGCGGAGGGCACTGTCCTGGGGCTTCCTGACCCAGTGGGATGGGGGTGTTAAGAAGCTCTTCTTGTTTCTGACCAGAGTTTATGATCCTTCTCTGCTTTTGTCCAGGATGCAAGGGAAGCATAGTCAGAAAATTATCTATCTTCCTTTGTCTCCATCACAGTCTCTGTTTAAATAACATGGAAACCTGGGAGCATAACTTAGTAAGCTGTCCTTTCAGGTTTCCCTCTAATTCACCAAAATGCCTACAAGATGGACATGGTATATCTATACCTGGTTGATTTCCTGAGAAGACTGTCAGCTGATGGGGGAATGGGAGGTGGTGCTCACAACTGATTAAGAATCTGGACTTCAGAGTTAGAAAAACTCCAATCTTGACTCCTTTTCTTACTAGTGGAGTTGCAGCGGTGAGTCCCTGAGGCCTTAAGTGCCTGATCTGTAAAGTGAGGTTTGCAATTCTGTCAGTTTTCGTTGCTGTAACAAAATACCTGAGAATCAACTTACAAGAAGCAGAAGTTTATTTTGGTTCACAGTTTTGGAAGTTCAGGTCCAAGTTAGTTGGCTCCATTGCTTTGGGCCTGGGGTGAGGCAGGAAGTGTGTGATGGAGCAAAACTGGTCACCACAAGATATAGGGGAAGCAAAGAGGGAGAGAAAGAGGGCCGGGGTTCTAGCATATCACTTGCATCCCTCAGTGATCATTCTTCTATTACTATCTTCCCCCAAAGTTCTACCACCTTCCAAGAGTGCCATAGTCTGGTGACCAAATCTTTAACACATGGGCCTTTGGGAGACATTCAGGATTCAAACTATGGCAAGTGCTTCCCTTAGAGAAGTGTGAATAAAGGGGATAATTGACATAAAGCTTCAACCACAGAGGCAGGCCTGTGAAAGGGAGTGTTTATGGTGGTTATCAAATTATAATAACCCTAATTTATAATTAATTTTTAGGAGGTTATACTTGCCAAATCATCCAGTCACTCAAACGACCCCCACTTTGAGCAGAACATGTCCTGGCACATTGTAGAAAAAGCAAAATTAAATATACTTCCCAGCTTTGAAGGGCAGTGTAAGAAATCTGCAAGGATAATCTAATGAGGTACCAATCATTCTGTCATTCAATCAGGATAAATTAGAAGGCAAACACTCACCAATAAGGAAGTGATGAATTCCACAGGCTTGATGTTAGTCCTATGCAAAGTTCTAGAATGGATAATTTTTTTGTTGTTATTATTATTATTATTTTGAGTTTTATCTTTTTTTTCCCTCTATATGCTATCCTGGGTGATCTCTAACTCCTGGGATCAAGTGATCCTTCCTCCTTAGCCTCCCAAGTTGCTGGGATGATTGGCCTGTGGTGCCACACCTGGTTAGAACAGATAATTAAGTGATAACTTGTCAGCAGATAGAAATGGAATCACAAAACATCCAGGACAGGCTCGGTTCATTAGATCAACCCACTTCAGGACTCTTTATTGACTCTATTTATTCAAAGGCCAGACACGGGTCAAGGGGTGGGGGCTTACATTAGTGTTCCTTCCAGTCTGGCAGGGACATTACATATTAACCCAGGAGAAACATGAAGAGTTTTGAGTGTTATGAGAGAAGAAGTATGCCAACTACAGGAGCATGAAGCACAGAAACATCATCTGTAATTTTATAACTGTGAGTGTATTATATGGTCTGTCTGGTCCCCTGTGCTGGAGACATATTGCTATGCCAGTAAAACTAAATCTGGCCTAATTACTTACCTACTGCACAGTGTTTCGTTTTATAGGTCTGTGGTAATTTATTTAGCCAACCTTTTACTTGACAGACATTTGCATTATTTCTTTTGAAGTTTTTTCTTTTCTTTTTCTTTTTTGTGTTACTGGAGATTAAACCTAGGGATGCTCTACCACTGAGCTACATCCCCAGACCTTTATTTATTTATTTATTTTTTGTTTTGAGACAGTCTTGCTAAGTTGCTGAGGCTGGCCTCCAACTTTTATCCTCCTATCAGTCTCCTGAGTCCCTGGGTGTGTGCCACCACTCCTAGTTTGTTTGTTTCTTTTTTTCTCTCTAACAAAAGCAAAGTAATATATTTTCTATTTCCAACTATTATTCTGAAATTTATAAAACAAAGGAACAAAATCTTTAAGGCACAAAATTCATTAGTGCATTTATTTTCTTATTTAAATAACTCATTTGTTTTATGTCCTCTGGCTTAACCTGTGAGGAACAGCTCTTTTTTGTCAGTACAATTTAGAAAGTCCTTGGGAAGAACTCTGGTTGGCCAAGCTGGGTCATGTGGTTGGAGATGGGGGAGGGATGAGTTATTGCAAGGAGGATTGGGAAATGGTAGCAGTGACTCTGTCACGGGTTCTGTTAGTTTGTGTGTAGTATACCTATGCTGTCATGTGACCTCCCCGCACAAATAATCAATCTGCAGTATGTGTTTGTTACCCAGAACGCCTTTCAACAGGAATAAAACAATCCATGTTGCTGTGAAAAATAAAAAAGAGCACTTTTTATTATTTGCTGCTTGGGGTTGCAATAAACATAGCAATACCTATGATGCTATTTTATGAGGGAGGATACCAGGAAATAGTTGTTGGTGACTGAAGGGTCTTCTGATTTAGACAGATTTGGCAGGATAACTTGCTCTAAACAAATATCAATCAAGATGGGATTATTCATTGGTTTCAGTCTGTCTAGTGTCTGTATCTATATCACCTTGGCCAAATATTTTCAATACACTGGGGTGGTACATACTATAACAGAAGGAATACTAATCTAAAAATGTGCTGTTGAACTTTTTAGGAAACTTGTCCCAGGTTCCCAACTAGAGAAGTAGAGCACCTGGCACTGAGGAGGTTTGTTCTTGGGTATTCGAACTTAACTCTCATCACTTCATTCATTCAAGTTACTTCCTGGGTGCTCATGATATTCCAGGCACTTGGGGTCTAGACAAAAATACTTGCTTCAATGGAGTTAGCAGTCTAGTATGGTGGTCACAAAGAATAAATAATAAATATAACACAGGAATAAATTATTAGCATGCTAGAATATGTTAGAACATTCTGTAATATGTGCTACAGAAAAATAGAGGATGATCAGGGAAGAAATGTGGGGAGGTTGGAATTTTAATTTGAATATACTTGAATAAGGAGTTGAGGGAGGTGGGGAAATTATCCATGTGGGTTTCTAGGGGAAGAATGAATCAGACAAAAGATAACAGACTGTGGAAAGATCCTGAGGTAGAAGTAGGACTGGCATGTAAAATACAATAGCACAGAGAGCTTTTTAGCTGGGTCAAGGAAAGGCAGAAGAGGGTAAAGAGTAACATGAGGCTGGATCACTATTCTAATGAGTGACACAGGGTGCCACTGGAGGGTTTTAATTAAAAAGGGTGTGATATGATCTGACTTATATTTTAAAATGACAGCTCTGTTCCTTGTGAACAGATTGTTGGAGGCAAGAAAGCCCAGTTATAGTAGATGGGCTGCAGTAGTCTTGAGGGAGATTATAGTGACTCAGATTGGGTTGGTAGCAATAGAAGTATGAGACATTTCAGGCATGCTTTAGAGTTTGAATTGGACAAGATTTCCTGGTGAATTGGAAGTAGTGTGAATCATAAATAACATTATAATTTTTGGTCTGAGCATTTGACCACTGGGGTTGGGTATGTTCAGATGATGAAAATATGATATGGTCAAATTAAAAATTTTGTGATTATATATATACATTTTATTGGAAGAATAAAAATCTCTTGCCAGGTGCGATAGCACACCCACGGTGGTACGCTCCTGTAATCCCAGTGGCTTGGGAGGCTGAGTCAGGAGAATCACAAGTTCAAAGCCAGCCTCAGCAACTGTGAGGCACTAAGCAACTCAGAACCTTTCTCTAAATAAAATACAAAATAAGACTGGGAATGTGGCTCAGTGGTTGAGTACCCCTGAGTTCAATCCCCAGTACCAAAAAAAAAAAAAAAAAAAAAAAGTCTTTTCTGGAGGATGCAGAAATACTAGGTAAATACTAGGAAACTGTATAACCCAAGATCATTTTGAAGAGTTTGTGGAGGGATGTCTAAGGGGTGAGTTCCATGAAACTGTAGCACTAAAGAAGTGAGGTTTTCATATCTGGATTCTAAGAAGGATTTGCCTTTCAGCCTGCTTGATGGTGTGCCAGGAGATTCTTATGTCCAGAGCAGTTTTGCTCGGGGTGGGGGACAGAAAGCAGGGGGTTGAGCAGCTGAGTCAGGGAGTGAGGCAGTTTCTGCTGACACATGTGGGCTCTGGCTTCTCTGGTTTCCCCATTTTATCACCTGTAATTCCCTGTTTGTCAGCTTTTCATCATGTTGACAAAAATACCTAACAAGAACAAGAACAACGTAGAGGAGGAACAGTTTATTCTGGGCTCATGGTTTCAGAAGATTAGTCTGACTCCAGAGGTTGGCAGACTCCATTGCTTCAGGCTAGCTTGCATCTTTGGCTTTCAGGCCCTTAAGGACTAATAGGATTTCTGCCTGAGGGTGAGTCTGCTTTACCTGCCAGTCTTATATCCACTGCTTGGTTGTGGGAAAGGCCTGTTCTGCTGCTAGGAGTTGGAGAAGCAAAGGTGAACTGCCCTAAACAGCATTAGCT